GCGCTATAGACGTCATCGTAGTGAAACGACCGAGGCTGCAGGATGGTCAGGCAGACATCGCGCGGCCAGGAGAAGACGACCATGAGCTGGTCTGCTCGCCTTTCCACGTCAGGTTCGGAAAATGGCAGGTCCTCAGGCCAGGCGACAAGAAGGTGCGTTGGGCAATCACTCTGGCGTGTCTGCGATTCGATCTATGCCGAATAGGTCAAGATGTTTGTCAATGGAAACCAAGTTCCATTTCCCATGAAGATTGGTGAGGCTGGCGAGGCCTTCTTTATCTTCGAGACAGACGAGGACGTCCCGGATAACCTTGTAACGAGTCCCCTTCTGGAGGCGACCCAACCTGGGCAAACCAATGCGGACGTGCAGCGCGCCGGTAGATTCGGCGCCAAGGAAGGCACTGAGAAGCAACCAAGGGATGCTGGATTGGATACACAAGAACCCGAGTTCCTCGACCTCAACGCTTCCGAATCGCAACAAGACCTATCATTACACGAGCCGGAGGATCGACAGGGTGAAGACAGTGAAGGCCAAGTGCCACTTCTCGTCCGCACTGCCCAGCTCGGGAAAGCACTTGTGGGTGCAGGCGTAGAGGCTGGCAAGTCAGAAAGGGACAAACTCAAGGATCACACGCTGACAGAAGCTGTATCCGAGGTCGAGAAGGACGAGGAGACGTTCGTGAGGGAGAAAGCCCTTGCCACTCGTAACGCAGCAAGACACTCTGCCAGTAGCTTCAGGAGCAATAAAGGAGACGAGATCTTGCCAGAAGCAGACGATGTGGAGGGTCCTGAGGTCGTATACACTGACGGTAAGCAGAATATGCCATTTGGCGGAAGTAGACTCCAGCAGTATTCGCAGACATGGTATTCGATATGGAGGGTTATCACTCGCACAAACGAAGTCACTCAGGTGGAACTATTACTCCTCGAGGTTCGTCAACTTCCACGAGCTCCCAGGTTCCCAGCCCGCCAAGTACACCAGGACCATCTCGTAAGATCCTGCATTCTGTATCCGGTCTACCTCCGGACTTAAACATGTATGTAGGCACGCCATCACCCCCTACGAATGTACCTGTCCCCTTCCCTACCATGCGAGCCACCTCCGAACCTCCCTTCGACTACCCAACCGGCATGACACCTCCGCAAGGCGCGCTTACCCCGCCGACAACTCCCCCTTCGCGCTCGCCATCTATGTCACGGATGCACGCCAGGAAGGCCAAGGTCGGTCCGCACACAACCATCCCCGTGGGGCACATCCAAACCGAGACAGAGGAGTACATGTGGGAGTGGGGCAGCTTCCCGCAGCGGACGCCAGTGCGCACTACGTTTCCGTCTATGGACGGCATAGGCTCGAGCCGGAAGGGCAAGGAACGGATGGCGGACTTGTCATTAGACACGGATGTCAGTGAGAAGGACCGCGAGGAGATGGTTTCATCGCCCGTGCCTATGGAGGAGGGTGAGGACGAATTGAAGTTCGGGAAGGGAGGGCGCTTGGCCCTTGATCGGCGGAACCCGACAAGGTTCAGGGTGTCTATCGAGAGGCGAGTGGTAGATTTTGAGCTCAGCGTCGTCCCTGGGGCGGGTAGCAGGGGGAGGCCAGGCGGTAAAGGGCCTCTAGGTGGTGAAGACGAGGTGGTGGACATGCAGCGTTTCGAGCAAGGGAAGATAGACTTTGAGAAATTTATTAATGACGACCAGGTCATCGACGACGAAGACCTGGTATTGAAGTGGGCGGGGATATGTGAGCTGAACAATACGTGATAACATCTGAAGACATGAACTCACATCGGATGTGTAGGTACATCACTCGGCAGGACGGGTCTCCATTGATGGATGCGCTCGTCTTGTGGCGAGATGCCGCGCTTCGTGGCAAGCTCGCCCGCTCTCCATCCCGATCGCGCTCACGAGAATGGGACGGCCATCGGTCACGGCTGAAGGACATTGATGAAGAGGCCCCCTATGCTTCTGATGATGAGTCTCGACATATGAACCGTACACCATCCGACATGTCGGGTTCAACAGCCACGGAGAAGACACCGCCTTCGTCATCATCGTGGGTGCGCTGGTGGAGCCGGAGTCGCAATGCAGAGCCTGCGCAGCGACCGAACCTCAAGTCGATGAACACTGCGCCGCCCAATGTAGTAAGTCACCTCATCCGCGCTGTGGCTTGGATGACAGTCCAAGTTCTGAGTGTTCTGTGCAGCAAAGGAGCAATACGCAAGTACCACAGCCAGGACCGTCGCCCACGAAGCGGTCCTCATCTGTTACGCCGCTCTCACTATCCCATAGCGCGTCTGAACTGGGGACGCCCGCGTCACCCTTGTCCGATACGTCCTCTGAGGACGACAAACCCAAACGGTACGCGAAGACACTCCGACTCACTTCAGAGCAACTTGTGAGTACAGTTCATGCAGTCCTTATCTCCACTTCTCGCTGACATCGCGCAGAAAACCCTCGATTTGAAGCCAGGCGCGAACAGTATTACATTCTCTTTATCAGCAACGGGGGTTGCTGCATGCACTGCACGTCTCTTTGTCTGGGACCATACCGATCAAGTCGTCATCTCGGACATTGACGGAACGATTACGAAGTATGCGCATGTTTGAACCGATTTAACGTGTCAGACTCTGACTATATGCGATAGGTCAGATGCGCTAGGCCATGTCTTCACGATGATCGGCCGTGACTGGACGCACCTCGGCGTGGCGAAGCTGTATACAGATATCTGTCGCAACGGCTACAAGATCCTGTACCTCACCTCGCGCGCCATCGGCCAAGCGGACTCGACGCGCGACTACCTCAAGGGTGTCAAGCAGAATGACTACCAATTGCCGGAGGGCCCCGTCATCATGAGCCCCGATCGTTTATTGACGTCCTTGCATCGGTATGGTGGACATCAGGCTTGAGTGAACAGTACAACTGACTGAGGGCATGGGTAGTGAGGTCATCATGCGCAAACCCGAGGTGTTCAAGATGGCTGCTCTACGCGACATCCAAAAGCTGTTTGGGACAACCGCGACAAACCCATTCTATGCTGGGTTCGGGAACCGCATCACCGACGCACTCTCATATCGTAGTGTCGGCGTGCCGAGCTCGCGGATCTTCACCATTGACTCGAATAGTGAGGTGCGGATGGAGTTGCTCGAGCTAGCGGGTTACAAGTCCTCGTATGTCCTCCCTTACCTTGCTTAATGTTATCCTGTACTTACGCATAATTTTGAAGGTACATCCACATGACAGACCTCGTCGATCAGATGTTCCCTCCTATCAATCGGACATGGGCAGCGGAGTACACCGACTTCAATTACTGGAAACAACCCATGCAAGACTTCCCGCTTCCAGACCTGACACCACCCTCTCCCGCACTGAGCGCGCGCTCCGACACGTCCAACCAGAGTACCCTAGCCCGGCTCAGGCATTTCAGCCTCATGGGAAGCAGACAGGCGAACAACATGGACAGGTTTGCCCTACCGCCACCGGCGACGAAGTCGGAGGAAGACAGAGCACAGCAGCGGCGGAACGAGTCCCACTTGCGCCAGATGTCGTCCTTTGAACGACTGAGCAGCACGTTGTCTGCTTTCACCCAGTCTGCGTCCCCGATCAGTAGCCCGCGATCGAGCACGCCCACGTTCATCGACTCGGGCTCGGAGGACGAAGGCGACGAGACTGATCTCGAGAAGCAGAAGCGACGGAGGAAAAGGCGGGAGAGCATGCCTGGCTCGCTGCCCGGGTCGGATGGCTCGGTGTCAGATGAAGACATGCACTTTGGGGCGGATGAGGCAGGAGACGATGGTTACGACGGAGAGAGAGAGGAGGAAGCAGCTGAGGAAGCGTTTGACGAAGACTTTCTGGCCACTGGAGAGATGGAGAAAGTACCGTTCTTGTGATCATATATTGTCGCTGCGTAATTGGCGCCACAAAGCATAATCTGACAACAGCTTGGAACTTGCAGCCGAGACAGGCTCCCAACATTATACTATCAGTAGTGCCGGATTTCCGGCCACCCGCTATGCGGCTGCGAAAAGTTTGTTACCACTTACTGCTCGCCTCCCCTTCAACATTTCGGCAAATAGCAACATAACTAAGTAGCAGCTTCCTGCTGCGAGAGGGGAGACACGAGCCTATTGTGTAGGGGTGTAGGGATTAAGCGCGCGACGCGATCTCTCGTCGCGCGCTACTGGCCTTTGGTCCTTTTCCACATCCTCAAAGACTTCAGAGTTCGTAGGACATAACTGCTAGCCTAGTCCAACAACGATCTACTATGGCTCAATTGCTTGTCGACCCGTATTCGCTGGCAGTCCCAGACTACACACTCGAGGTCCATGCTCCAACCAGACAGCCATGGCTCACGGCCGGGCTGACCGAGGCACAGGTACATTCATCGACGGCTCCTTGAGACACCCCCGGTCCTTGAGACAGCGGGCTTCAGCGCGTGCTCAGTGAAGCCTGCTAGCCTAGAAAAATGACAACAATTTGCTTACCGTTGTCATGTACCTACTGAGACCGTGTTTGCGATGGTGCGAGCGCTGGTCGCTGCACGGTATGTCGAAGAACATGGAAAACCACATTTCATGAATTTCATTACCCGATTTAGCAAGTACCATTACATAATCATACCGGCCCATAATCCCTACTATGCGGAACGGCGCGAAAGTGGGGGTTAAACACAAAGGAAGTTTCCTTTGTACTGTCAGTGATCATTCCAATGGTTTGTAAGGGTATTTCACTTGAGGAAAGAGTCTGGAAGAGCCATCTGCACTGATGAGCACTTGGAATAGTTACCATTTTAGGCAGGTGTCTCAAGGACCGGGAAAGGTCTTGATAAGAAAAATCGCGACTGATCTCCTTAGTGTGCAACGCTCGCTCTATGGATAAGGATACAATTTTTTTGTAGGATGCCTTGGACATGCCTGATTGTGCGTACACCGTCCGATCTCGAAGAGTACGCGGTGTTCCGATGCAAGACGCCAAACGCGATTTGGGCGTCTCAAGGAGCCGTCGATGACTGTAATCAACGCTCTAGCCGCCAATTGGAAAGCACAGAACGAGCGTGATAAGCAGGCCTGGCAGGAGCACACCGCCGCAGAGGCTCAGGCGTTAGCCGAGGAAGCGGCCAATTTCGAAGTCGAGAGGATGGACGTAAAACAGGCCCTAAAGGACGAGATGAAGAAGAATAAGGAAAAGTTTGTGTCCATCCCAGACCGCCCGACCCCTATGGGAGCCCTTGTGATGGCGGCTCCGTATGCGGTCCACCACCTTGAGAGAGGACATTACGTGGAGCTCTACTACTACACAAACCGCGGACTGTTAGCAGCGGCAGCGGCCGCCACACAGGTAGATGACGAAGCATTAGGACCAGGATTATTTAGCGTTGAAAGAAAACGGCGACAGCACCGCCGGTGAGGTGCCGGTGGCCTCACTTCGCAGCGTCGAAAGGGTCATCCCAGACAGCGAACTCACTTGGGGGCAACTCCGTGAAGCTGTTCCCAGGTTCATCCCCGCGATGCAGCAGGCGAGATGGGCCGGAGAGCGTCTCAAGAAATTCTGGGGCAACCTTGAAGCGCACCCTTTCCAGCAGTCGATTGACCCAATCGATACACGAACACTCGTGGTCTATCAGGCGGAGCAGCGACTCAGGTGGCACCAAGCCATCAATAGCACCGACGGTGCATGGAACCTACACCTTCTTTCGGAGGAGATCTTGAAGGAGACCCGCGGCCGCGTCTATCGAAAGGATCAAATGGCAAAGGATGCCACGATTGACGAGGCAGCCGTAAGCAGCCCTGCCTCTCTCGCAATGACAAGGCACTGACATTCTCTTTTCACCTCGGTATCATAACTCACACCACCTCTCCTATAATCACGAACCATCCCCCTTGTGCTGTGACTCATGCTCCATGAACCACGCCCGCTGCACACACCTCGAGTACCATCCATAGGCACGGATGAAGGCTTTCCTGGCTAATTGGCAGCAGGGTTCATTCAGTCGTGACAGGTCCTCCTCGCCAGAAGAAAACACCAGTGCGGGAGATGGAGCCGCCGTTCGCACCAAAGCCACAAGGAAGTCTGCTCCTGCACCATACCCAGATCGGAAAGCGTCTTTTCAGGGAGGCGCAGGCACTGACAATACGACCTTCCCCGCCTGCGCCGTTTGCCTGGGACGCCACCAGCATCGCGTTTTCTACTGCGACGCCAAAAGGACGTGGGATCTCGCGCACGACACCATCGTCAAGCGCATCAAGAAACTTCTTGTCATCACCGACGGCAATCATACCCTCTGCGCTGACTGGCAGCGAGTGGGAGGGTGCGCCAGCCACACACACGACGCTCGGCACCTCTGTTCCGGGTGCGGTCAACGCACACACGGCGCCCAGAGCTGCCCTCGAGCGCAACGCGCTTGAAACGCGCACGCCATACCTCGCGCACGCCTGGGAGCGCGTTCGGTTCACGCTCCCTGTCGTGCGAGTCACCCAGGCACTAGCAATTGTGCCACCCGCAGACGAATCCATCGCCGTCTTCCAGCAGCTCATCGAGCGTGAATCGGCCCATGTTCGCAGCGCGAGGTCGGGCAATACTTGGGTGCGTTCCAGACGACACGCGCTACCACATGCCACCTCTGCGATGAGCTTCGACTAACAACGTACATACCAGGTAACCGGTGAATCGACATCCATATAACGGTCGAGCCGCAACTCGCGGCTTCACCCCGGGGATTAAAGCTCAACGTTCAACGTCAACCGTTACCCCGCAGGTTCATTTTGGATCGGGCCGGACTTGCTACCTAAACAACTACTCTTATTCTCTTTGATCGCGCGACGAGCTAATTACATTCGCTGGGATGGTACTGCTAGTACTATCGCTACTTACCAGCCTGTTCGGACGTAGTCACGTCCAGAAATTGTCTTGAGCCATTATCACACACACTTGTGTAGAGTATATATTGGCCTGCTAGCTCAGTTGGTTAGAGCGTGGTGCTAATACTATCATCCAAGTATTGTGACGCCGCACACGCATCGCCGCAAGCACCGACGGGGCGCACGACAGGACGGGGACAGAGGGCGGGCGACGCGCCGGGAAGTGCGCGGGCAGGCGGGCGCAAGATTCCCAAGGACCTCTTGGGAGTCTTTACGGATTGGCACGGGATATATATATATTTGGCGTGTGCGGCGCACACGCATAACTTGGCAGCAAGAGGAGGAGGGCAGAGTCTAGGCATAAGGATTTCGTACACGTACACATGGACACTGAGCAAGAGCGGAAGATACACCCTAGCAATGGCTGCAGCCGCGCTGGAGGCGCCACGAGGGTTGCCAGGGCGGCGGCACCGCCGCGAGCATGGCAAGCAGATCTAGCTCTTCGTCGCTGTCGTCGTCTGCGTCGCTGTTGTCTCCGTGGTCGTCGTCTGCGTCGCTGTAGCCGCCATCTGCGTCACTTTAGCCGCTGTCTTCGGAGCCGCCGCCATCTTCGGAGCCGCCGCCATCTTCGGAGCCGCCGCCATCTTCGGAGCCGCCGCCATCTTCGGAGCCGCCGCCATCTTCGGAGCCGCCGCTACAGGACTCGTCGTCGCGCATGTCGTCGTCGTCGGTAGTGGGCGGTTCGGTGTCGTCAAATTCATCCGGCAGCCAGCATCGGGTCGACATGGTGCAAAAGCACTGCTCCCAGCGGACGGCGCTGACGGATGCGAGGACCTGGGGCCAAGCTGGACCGGCGGGAGTAGGGCTGAATCGGGTGCGAGTGAGCTGGAGGTTGAGGGGGGGACGAAGGTGGGTTGCGACGCGCGTGGAGAGGGCGTCGGCGAGGGCGTGGAGATCATAGTCGGAATGGGAGAGGACGAGGAGGTCGAGGGCGGGGAGGGCGCCGGCGCGGAGGAGGGAGAGCCAGGCGGATGTGTGGCTGCATCCGACAAAGGCGAGGCGGCTGAGGTGAGACCAGCCGGAGAGGATGTGGAATGAGAGGAGCGAAGGGACGCGAATTGACGCGTCGACGTTGGTGAGCGTGAGGTTGTTGAGGGGGCAGAGGGTGAGTTGGAGGAGGGCGTGGTCGATGACGAACAGAGGGTGAGGGCTGTCGATGTTTCCCGCGGTCCAGAGCTCGGCGTGAGTGGAGTCTTCTGCGACGGTCGCGAGGACGTCGCAGTAGTCGTACGTGTCGGCAGAGAGGTGGGCGCGGGCAATGGTGGGGATTGTCATTGGGTCCACCGTGGAGGTATGCGCGGGCGGGGGGCCTTTTATAGCGGCGGGCGCACGCCCAGCGACGGGGCGGGGCGGGCGCACACCTGCCGACGGGGCGCGAGGGCGCACACGCGGGGCGCATGAGAGCAGGAGCAGAGAGAGGGACGACGCGATGCGACGCGACGCGACTCGCGTGACGCGACTCGGACGCGCCTCGGCCAGAGGCAGGCTGGAACGCGGGCGGGTACGCGCACAGGCGGGATGGAACGCGGCCGCTTCCAGCCACCGACAGGATGGAACGGCGTTCACGGATAAAGGCAACGGTTCGATCCCGTTGTGGGCCATTTTTGCTTTGCTTTTCCAATCTGTTCTGTCTCAAAACGCATTGTGGTGCTCGTGGTGATGTCTCTGGGAGGGGCATACATCATGATCCATACCGTGTCGGCAGATCGGTCCTCGTGAGAAGAGCTCCAAACACACAATATACTACATCCACCTTAAAAGAAGACTTTGTATATCAATCGCGGAAGACGATGTCTAAGTTACAAGAAATCGGACTACAAAGCAGCGGTTCCACTCCTTCCTCCATCGTAAAAGGTTTGAACGCGGTTGGGGTAGCCGTACTCGTAGCTGAAACGCTCATACGCCGCAGAGTAATCATAGGCAATGCTGTGCATAGCAAGGAGATTCAGCGAGCAAAGTTGATGCTACCCGGTTGTGCAGAAGATTGCTCACGATCAAGGTCATGCGAAGCGTAAGGCATACTTACCGGGCAACGCGAGGGTGGACGGAGGTGACTACGGAACAATTGTGCTTCCGAGGACACAACGGTGTAGGTGCGCATTGGAGCGCTACACGGAAGGTGACGTCCAATGGTAGGATATGATAGGAGCGCACCGCACATAGGGCGCTGGCTGCCAGGCTGAGGCAGCATTGTTGGTTGGGTTCAGCGCCGTCGTTCACGATAGTTCACTGGCCGCTATGTAACACTCACTGGCAGATGCTTGAATAACGGGCGCGGCCCGCGTGGCAGTGCCATCGATGCGGCGGTGTGTGCGCAGTTGTGGGCGGGAGAATATGTATTCGACGCGCCAAGATGGTGTATGTGCATGGTGGATGTCTGGCATTGAGTGATGAGGATGTTCTTTGTGTGCTAGAAACAGCAACGGGGAGGAATGACTAGGAAGATTCCGCCGCGAAAGACGACTTTATTATCAATGGGGGAAGCTTAAGGTAGATTGTATTTGCGTCTCACCGCACGTCAGGAAGCGGGCGCGTTGCAGAGCCAAGGGGTTGGCAGTTGGATGGCAGGCAAAGATGGTGATGTTTCCGGGCGCCGACTCGGAGCAAAGAACTGATTCAATGGAGCAACCGTGGTTGCGTGAAGACTGACTGCGCGCGGGGAATGGGCCCACCAGGAGACACGAGGACTCGGAACGTCGTGCGCGGTCGTCCGCCATGACTGACTGTAACATTCTGAGAATTGCTGCAATATGGCATTGGCTGCAACGAAGTCGCGCGGTGCGGTGGCGAGGGTGGCTGAGCCGACTGATCGAAGGTATTACTATTTGTCCCCAAGTATCATCATACTGTTCAACTCGGCGCAAGTATGTTATGATTGGCAGTTGCGCACAGCCTACCACTGGACCACTTCATAAGTCCCAAACTGCACAGTATGGCCGTATCTTCATCTGTTCAACTACCCATCTTCGAGGTACGCATCTCTATACCCGAGTCTTGAGACTGGCACGCCGGACTGGCCTGTCGGAGGTCATACGCAGTGCGCAGAACAGTTCGTTGAACTGACGACTCTTCGTAGGCTGCAGAGCGCGATGCGGTCCTTCACTGTAATATCTGCCTTGGCAGCTATTTTACCAAATCTTGTGCCGGTGACAGCGTCGCAGCCGGATTATTCCACGATAGACCTGACCGGCCTGGACCTGACTTCGTAAGTTATTGCTGTAGCTGGATGGACACCACTTATTGATGATTTTCACAAGCTTCCCGAATAACTCTCTCTTCACGCGATGGCGTCCGAGGTCTCGTTTCATGGCGCCACATTCATGGATGAATGACCCGTGTGCACCGTCCTATGATCCCTCGTCCGGGCTCTACCACCTGTTTTACCAATTCCATCCTGCACACATTGCCTGGGGTAACATATCCTGGGGCCATGCTACGTCGCAGGACCTTGTTACATGGACAGATGTCATCGCATGGGAGGCATACAGCGCAGTCGCCCTCTCCCCAGGTCCAAATGGAACAATGGATCACCTTGGAGTATACACAGGGTCTGCGCAGTTCCTGAACGTGACGGAAAACCAGACCTGGGGCTTGCCTGTACAGTATGCAACCTCCGGAGGACAGACAGTCATGCTCGCCTTCTACACCGCCGTATCGAGTACGGAGGCACAGGCCCTCGCCATTTCCGATGACGGAGGGCATACATGGTCGAAGTTCGAGGGTATGGGCATCAACCCTGTGATCCCTAACGCGCCTCCTAACCTCGACGTCACTGGATTCCGTGATCCCTCCTATGAGCTATGGCCTGAGATGGATTCGATCCTCCAGGTGGACGAGCCGCATTTTTACTCTGTCTTCGGCTCCGGAATCGTCAACGTTGGGTCGCGCCTGCAGTTCTACACTGCGCCGGCATCCAATGTGACTCATTGGTCGTATCTCGGTCCACTCCTCTCCGTCGCAGGCAACGCATCGTGGTCCGAGACCTACTCTGGCTCTTTCGGATTCTTTTTCGAGGTTCCAGGTACCTTCTCCCTTCCCGAGCTTGCAGAGAACGGAGGCGATGGAGTGACGAGCCACCACTTCGTCATGATGGGCTCGGGCGGCGGGAACACCGTCTTGCACCCACTCAGCAACTGGCCGCTCTGGTCCGAAGTCGACATCGTGCGTTCAGCGAACGGCTCCGCGGAAGGCACCATACGGTCGTCGGGCGTCATCGATTGGGGACATTCTTACGCGTGGAATTCCTTCTACGACAAGCCTCACGACCGCCGTATCACATTTGGCTGGATACCAGAGGACCTCGGCCCACTGCTCCCACAGGGCTGGACCGGAGCTCATTCCCTCCCCCGAGAGCTGTACGTCCAGGTCTATCGAAACCTCGCGGACCCGAAGGGCGTCCTATCGCAACCGGGCTCTTGGACAGCGACTCAGAACCCCAATGGTAGCTGGACAATGACCACCCTTTCCATGCGCCCCGCTCCAGAGGTTGTGGCTGCATTGTGCGAGAACGCGACGACGACTCGCCTGGACGATGTCGTCGTGTCCGCAGGCGACACTGCCCCCGGACAGTTCCACGATCTGAATGTTACCAGCGACTCTGTCGTCATCCATGCGGAGATCGACATCCCGGTTGACACTACATCGGACGTCAGCTTTGTTCTCCGTCGCAGCCCAGACGGCGAGGAGCAGACGCTGGTCACCTACGATCCCGTCCTCGAGATGCTCACCATGAACTTGACTTCGTCGACCCTCCTCAAGCCATCATTCGTCGGCACCGCAAACCACGTCGCCCCGCTCTTCCTTCTCGATACATACAACGGCTCCCAGGTCGACACCGTTCGCGAGCCGCTAGTGCTCGATATCTTCCTCGACAACTCGGTCATCGAGGTGTTCGCGAACTCTCGTGTCGCGATGATCGGCCGTACCTACCCAGCGAGGAACGACTCTTTGGGAGTGGGATACGTTGTCAGTGCGGGCAACGGGTCGGTCACGTTCAAGCAGG